GCTGTTCAGTACTTCCAGGTTTCCCAATGGTTTTCTAACCAATGTCAGCTCATGATGAAATCCTGAAACCAAAAGACTGATGTACTAGAAATATCGGTTTACCTGTTCACCGGTTTTTCGAAATAAATTTGACAACCTATCCCACCTGTATTACTTATAAGACATTTGCATAGCAATCCTTAAACTACGGTTACAGCATAACAAACAGTAAACTGTCAGTCACAAGCATTTGGGTATAAACGCCTTTTGAAGTCTTGCTAGCATGTATTTGAAATAAAAACGTAGGAATGTTCTAGTTACATGTATTTTCCTATAGGAGTTATGTGAGTCAACCGATAAGATTACTAATCTTAAGAAAGAAATAGGACTGTCATAAAGTGTCCTATCCACATTCATAAATTGTCTACATCTACACGAACGCTTTTGTATTCATAATGCTGGGTCAGAATATAGCTGAAAGTAATGGAAGGAAGACATAGTACTAGTTCACAAATTAATTGACTGTTAGTCATTACCGTTTATGAAGAAATATATCACCTAACTGGAGTCCTCAAAATGTCCAAAAATAATAAGCAAGTTGGGTTTGGGGACAGCTACTCGGAGATGTGACATTGTTTATTGGTCACGCTATATTTCACAAATCGGCAGAAGTTAGAGTTTATAAGCTACTTTATTCTGTCTGCCTATATGGTTAACAAGCTCTCCTTGTAACACCTGAAAGTCCTGGATTTGATCCCTTATGGTGTTAGGTGTGAATAATGCTGAGTAGTTTCATTATTATTTATTTATTATTATTTCCTTTAATTCCTAGAGGAACATAGGCCTTCAGCCGCACGTCTCCATTGCGTTCGGTTCTCTGCCAACGTTTTCACCTGGCTCCAAGTCTGCCCACATGCTTTCATCTCCTCTTCACATGACCTTCTCCATGTCACCCTTGGACGATCAACTCACCGCTTCCCTTTCGGGTTCCACTCGAGCAATGGCTTGTCTAGTGATGTCACTTGATGGTTTCCTCAGAGTTTGGACAATCCATCTCCATTTCTTCCTGCTTATTTGTTTCACAATCGGTTCCTGCTGGGTTGGTTCGCTCCCAGAGATCCATCCCTGTTGCTGATCTTTTCTGGCCGGCCATCTGATCTTGAGTATTGAGCGAAGACGACTGTTAATGAAGGTCTGTAGTTTATTTGAGATGCTCTTTATGACGCGCTGGCCAAGTCTCTGATCCGTATAGTAGCACTGACTGACTTCACATTGGAGTTGAAAATCCGGATCTTATTTTTGATACTGAGTGCTGTTGACCTCCACACAGGCTTGAGAGTAGTGAAAGCTTGTCTTGCTTTTCCGATTCTTGCATTGATATCCTCGTCAGTTCCGTCTGTAGTTGAAACGATGCTTCCCAGGTAGGTAGGTGAAGGAGATTGTTTCTTTCAGGTTCCTTCCATTTATACTGATTGTTGTCTGTTGTTGTTGTTGATGTTGGTGGTGTTGCCCATGAATCTTCATCACCTCTGTTTTCTCTATGTTCACCTGAAGTCCCATCTTCTCTGAATGCTTCTTCTGCCAACTTGTTGCTTTTCGCTTGTATATCTTCCAGTTTGTGGGAAATCAGAAATATATCGTAGGCGAAGTCAAGATCCTCCAAGTTGGTTTTTTGTGTGAGTCCATTTTATGCCTGTTTCCTCATTGCATGCTGTTTGTCGCATTATCCAATCTACTGCAATCAGGAAAGTCATTGGCGATAGTAGCAGCCTTGTCTTACTCCTGTCCTCACTTCGAAGGATTCCGTAAGTTTCCCGTTGTGGATTACTTGGCATGCAGCATTGTCGTACAACTGTTGGATGAGGTGTATAATTGTCGGCGGCACCCCGTAGTAGCGAAGTAGTTTCAAACTAAAACCAATCACCTTTCTAGTACTCTGTAGTTTTCACTAGTTATCTAGATGAAGTCAGTTTGTGATCAATCTTGAAATAATTGGAGAGTATTAGAAATTACCATAATGTAGGGTATGTATTCAATCCTCATTCTCATGAAAATCTGGAACATTTTAGCTATACACAGATAGCATTGAGTTGATGTTCATTGACTTGTGATAATCGATCTCACGCCTTACTTCGTCTTCTTATTAAAATTAATGCTAACAGTTTCACCAAAAGTGATAATAAAACCAAGAATAAATATCAAAGTTTAGAGAACATGTTACTATTAGCATAATCTCGCACATGCGCAATAACTCAGTAATACGGGTCAGAAACTTGCGCTGCGTGTTATGAAGAGGATTTCCAACAATTTGAAGGCTTTTATTAACAGCTATCTTCGCTAGCTCAACACTGAAGATCAAGTGGCCGGCAAGAAAGAAATACCAACAAGAAACTCTGGTTGGCAACAAACCAACCAGGAGCCGGTAGCTAAAAAAATATGTAGGAGAAAATGGAGGTGGATAGATCGGGCATACGTTGACCAGGTCGTCGAATGACATCGCTCTTAATGCAGGCCATTGCTTGGGTGGAATTCCAATGAGTAGCAACGAGTAGGTGGTCGGTGCGAGGGTGACATGGAGGAGATCGTGCGAGCTGGAGGAGATGAGACATTATGATCAATCGTGCGGCTAGCCAGCTGAAGAGGACAGCAGAGAATAGAAGAAAGTGGAGATGTGTTGTTGAAGTCTTATGTTCCACTCGGAACCCAAGGGAATAACAACAATACACATAGAAGTTCTGCATATTTAAGAATTATGTTCGCCACTTAGGTGTGCAGTCATACTTCACAACAATAAATCAAATCCATACAAACGAACAAATGAAAATTAGCCTGTTCACCATTGACTGACTACAGGATTGAGTTACCTAAGGTTTTAGTGAGAAGCTGTGACCATGGAGATCCATCAAGTTGGGTGTGAGGACAATTGGTGATCGTGTTATAAATCATGAGCTGGAAGAATTTAGAATTCATGGACGATTGTATTTGGTCACAGTAACTCAATAGTCAGTGAGCTCTCCTTGTAACCTGAAGATCCGCCCCATAGTAGTGGTGTGGGTGGGTACAGCTGAAGAGTTTCGAACAAGAACTCTCTGGTTTTCAATGGTTCAGTCACTGAATTCAGTTCGTGATCAGTCTTAAAAGTGATCAAATCCCGGCATACCAACACTTGAACTGAACGACTGACACCGATATCTCATGCATACACAATAATCTGATTCAAAATACTATACTTTGTAACAACGCAGACACATATTCAGTAAAATCAGAAATCAAGTAAAAACAAGCTAAGAAAGAAGACATAAATGAAGGCAGGCAAACTCAGTGACTTATTAAAACCTGCGAAACTTCAACTAAAGATCCTTCAATGTAACAGTAGAGTCATTCAAACATTTTAAGTAGAAAATATTCAAGATAGCGTTTAACATCTATACAAAGTCAAATGATATTTACTGTTAGACGGGACGATTATATCCATGATACGGTCTTAAACAAAAAGAGACCTAAGTATTAAAACTGAATAATAGTACAACTTAGCATACTTCACAGTATAAAACACTAAAGTAAAATTTCATAAACCAGAATAAGTTACAGTCATAGGCAAAAAAAGGAAACATGTGACACTGGAAGACGTAGATAGTAGTAGTGTACCAAACAAATCGTCACCTGTGCATGATACGATTTTATATACAATCTTGAAAATTGATTTTTTGAAGATCAAAGGCATTCAGAATCACAAGACAACGACAACAACAACTACTACTACTACAACTATTAGTACTTGTTATACTCTAAATCAATTAAAGACAATCAAATTTGCAAATTTGAATTTAAGATTTGCACAGTTTACATAGTTCGAGGTGAAACTCCATCAAAGTTTCCTTTGCGACGAAAATTATTCAAACCATAAAATAGGTTATCTGCATGATACTGTGTAAATGACAAACAAGAAAACAAACAGAATTGCTTGAGGCTATATACTACTGACTGATTTATATGAGTAGTCGGATACCACACGCGACGACGACGACCAGTAGTACTTTCTAGGCCAGGCATCCGAATTCTGGCTAGCTACTTGGGGAGAACTAGTAATACATTGAATGGAATTCACATTTAGGCAAACTAATTCTCGATTCGTAATTCCCTCTGTTGGATCATGCGGTGTTGCCTTTAGCATGTGAATGGCTAACACAGTTTAACAGCTTTTTCCATGTGAATATCTATGCACTACTGACCATTTCGTTCGTTCTCCAATGAAATTATAATTTCAACCAATTTTTTCATCACCACACTTAAATGTACATGGCTGTACAGTTATGGTGGGTGTTACTGATAACATTTGTAAGTAGTATATTGAGCATGTGATGTTTTCTTCAAGAATATTGAGTAACAGAGGAATGGATTAAGTGGTGAAGAAGAGAAATAAAAGATCCTTGTGAAACAACGTAGAAAATATGAAAGGGAAGACAAAAGGAAGCACAAAAAGTAGAACACGTGCAAATATTGATTTTAATTTAATGTAGATGTAATCTGGTCACATCTGTATATCAACTGCAGTAATGAATGATTCCGCTGGTACACAGTTATTATCAGTTACTAAAATAAGAGAGGTTATATACAATTAAAATACACAGAATCTGGGAGTACTGGACAGCTATTTCATCCTAGTTTAGGACTCTTCAGCAGTACTCACCCACCGGGGTTCAAACTTAGAAGGTCCTGGGTTTGAACTCCAGTGGGTGCGTACTGCCAAAGAGTCCCAAACTAGGACGAAACAGCTGTCCAATACTCCTAGGTCTTTCAGTGTTTCTCTAGCTGATGTCAGCTCATGATGAAGTCCTCCAACCAATGAAACAAAAATCCCTACAAAAACCAGTACTTAAAATACACAAAATTGAAGCTTTTTAATCTATTTTATCTCGCATGAACGCCTTATTAGTCATGATATAGCTTTGAATTTTATTTACATTTATAGTTAGTAATAAAAAAAGATGAGACAAATGAACTTCAAACAAACAACTTACGGAAGACGATCTTCAGCTTCATAATCTGGTTTAATAGGATGAGGACGTTTTTGAACACGATTCACTTCCATATGAAGACCTTCTAATACATAACGTAAGAATTCTTGTGAATCTTGTTGACTGAAACAGGAATAAAATGTTATACACATAACTGAGGTATACAAGATGTTGCTAGTATAAATTATAAGTTTATACAGCACAAACGGGACATTAAACACTTCTGGTTAGAAATTGTTTGAATAGTTTCTGTTACAGTATTCAATAATTTCAAAGTTCAAGTGTTGGTTTTTAGGGATTTGATTGGTTACAGGATTTTCATCATGAGCTGACATTAGTTGTCCAGTACTCCCGGGTTTTCCAATGGTTCTCTAACTAATGTCAGCTCATGATGAAAATCCTGTAACCAATTTCAAAGTTATTGTATCACAAAATAACTCTCTCATATATGGACCAAAAAAAATGAAAGAGTATTACACACAAAGCAATCAACAAAGTTTACACCATTGAAGAGCTCCAAGTTAGGACGAAACCGAATAATAGCACCCTTTAATGTTTAAATAGTTCTTCCACAGAATTTCATTTTATAATTACATTTTGCCTCGTTTTGACAGGAACATCATCTGTAATAGTGGTTTTCAGGTATTGGTTTGCAGGGATTTGATTGGTTACAGGTTTCTTCACTAGCTGACGTCATTTACAACACCACTGGAAAATTAATGAGTACTGGACAGCTATTTCATCCTACTTTAAGACAATTCAGCAGTACCGCCCACTGAGGTCGGAATCTAGCACCTTGTTGTAACAAGGCGAGCTTGGGTTCGAACCCTAAGAAGTCCTAAACTAGGAAGGAACAGCTGTCTAGTAATCCCTGGTTTTCTAATAGTAATTTTAATCGCTGCGTTCATTGGAAAGATTGTTAAAAATATATTACTGCATAGGTTACCGTTTTCAAAGAAAATAAGTGGCCCTTAACTGTGATAATTTCTTATTTAATTAAATTTTAGATTTTCCCATCGATTGATTGGACCGAAGTGCTCAGTCTCAGGTTGACATGTCAGTTTCTTGTGCAGATGCTTCGACGATGTCTGGGTATATAATTAGAATTTAATTCGTGGATTCCACTGCTAGTCACCATCCACCAATTAAATGTGTTAATTTCTGTCGAAATGATAGTCGCTTTAACTACGGTAATCACTTAAAAGCACCCTTACGACAAAACAAAGGACTGTTACACGTCTGTAGAGTATTTTCATGAATGAAAGAAGATTGACTGCGAGCAGACAGACAACCGCAGTAGAGAAAAGTCACAAATCAAAACCTATCTACTCAATGGACTTAATTCCCTAAAGATACATCGGAAGGAAGCTGTATTTAAGCATCATAGAAACAAACGAATCACTAGAGTTCTCAACAAGACCTATTTCGATACTCATCTTTTTGCTCGTAACTAACAACAGGAAGTAGATAAACAAGTCACGAAGTTGAAACAGATACTCATCAATAAAATCTGTTGGAGTGATTCAATTTACAAAATAAAGATTTGTCAAGTTTTATTTTAACTTGAAAGAACTACCTTAATGAAATGACACTGTATACATCTAAAGAGTTAAAATATTTTGGTGGACTTTGGATAGAACAAAAAGCAAACCTGTTCAATATTCAATTCACTTGAATGAATCAATAAACGTTTTATTATTTACTACAAATGTATATTATTAATGTGACCTATAGATAAAGTTCTTCATAGATTTAAGGTATATAAGAAAGGCATCAACAGAGATGAATTACACGTACTTGACGTACTTGATTTTTATAGTGTGCTTTATTTCACACACAAAAAAGTGAACATAACGGGAATGTAAAAAAGCCAATTCGTAATAGTCAATAGTTCTAAGAGACGAGGATGTCAAATCGAGAATCGGGAAGGCGAGAAACACATTCATCAACCTGAAACCAATCTGGAAATCTTCGTCACTCAGCCTGCATCAACAACAAAATTCGAATTTTCAATACAAACGTCAAGTCAGTTCCTCTATACGGATCAGAAACTTGGCGGGTCACAAAGAATATTTCCAACAGCCTGTTGCAGACCTTTATCAACAACTGTCTTCGCTCTATACTGAAGATCAGATGGCCGGAAAGAATCACCAACAAGAAACTATGGGGACAAACAGAACAAGAACCAATCGCTCAACAAATATGCAGGAGAAAGTGGAGATGGATTGGACACTCGCTGAGGAGGCCGTTGGGTGACATTGCGCGTCAGGCCATCGCTCGAGTGGAACCCGAAAAAGAAGCGACGAGTGGTTTGTCGGTGTAAGGGTGACATGGAGGAGATCGTGTGAAGAGGAGTTGAAACAGTATGGACTAACACGGATGTAGGTGAAAAGTACAACAGAAGACAGAAGCAAGTGGAGACATGCAGTTGAAGCCCTATGTTCCACTAGGAACCCAAGGGAACAATAATAATAATAAATAATAATAGTTCTAAGAAAACTTTCCAACAAAGAAATCAGCAGACAAAAATTTTTTTATGACTACTATTATTATCGTGAGGAGGCAACATTAGGAACAAGATTTAAGGTACTAAGATTATAGACAGAGAAATTTAGACCATATTAGATGGTTGGAGGCAACCGGCAGGAAACCTTTCCTGACTTAGGTTTCATGTTAGTTGGCACTCACCAGTCAGCAAGACATATCTGCAACCTTGAAGGAACTCATGTCCCCCTCTTCTGAGATTCGAACCCATGCCTCTCACCGCAGCACTGGGTGACGCGGGTTCGAATCCCAGAAGAGAGAGACATGAGTTCCTTCAAGGTTGAAGATACACGCCTTGCTGACTGGTGAGTGCCAACTAACACGAAACCTAGGTCCAAGGCTCCCTGCCGATTGCCTTCAACCATCTAATATCATCAAATCAATGTACACTGTGTTGGCGAGCTACCTAGAATGGTGGCCACATTGCAAACCTGACTGACTGATAGAATTCAGTCTGCACCAAAGAAAGGACTGGACACATCACACTAGTTAGTTACTAGTGTCCAATTAAAGTAAATTTAGATCACTTTAACCACTACTTTAAGAAGAGTTCAGTTCAAAAAGAAAGAAAAAATTAGTAATGAGAGTGAATGCCATGCAACTCGAACTACGTATATTCCCATTTACTTGCAGCTGCTAAAGTTGGTACATTGGAAGAATAAAAAGAAGGGCCTATCGTAGATTTTCTGAACATATACTGAAAAGTCTATGATTAAGAAGAAGTAAAGCTTTCAACATTGCAAAATAAGAAGATCATTGGTAATGAAGGTGAATACAACTACTCCACTCGCAGAAAACAAATCTGTACAATTTCGTTATCTATTATCTGAAATATGCCTAAGTTTATTACCGATGGATTTAATAGGCAGTTATATGCTCAAAGTTTGTTGTTTGTGTCTATCTATCCATCTATCTATCTATCTATTTATCATCAATCTTTAATTGCATCTATTGGAATATTTGCATAGAAATCATGCAAGCATTCTCAATGTCAATAATTCATTAATTATTCAGGAAATTGTTAAATAATGCAAGATATATCCCTCTCAAATTGTATAAATATACTTACTAAACAATAGATATTAATTACTTACGCATATCCCATAAAACGCGGGGCGAAACGTTGAATTTGACTTTTGAAACGGCTTGGACTAGTTGATGAATTAGCCATATCAGGATCCCAGAGTTCTTTCATTAAATCAGCATAAGCTAGACAGATGTATAACAATAGCACAAAAATTTCAAGTAAGTTGGATATCATGCAAAATAATCAAGTTAGTTAAATACGCCAGGATAAATTAAATTATTAGTTGACCCATATAACATAAACTGTGTATCAAGCACAACACTGAACTGTTGGTATTAGATGGTTGGAGGCAATTGGTCAAAAGAAGCCTTTCGTGGCCTAGATTTCGTACTAGTTGGTAATCACCAGTCAGCAAGGCGTATCTGCAACCTCGAAGGAGCTCATTTCCCTCTTTGTGAGATTCGAACCCGCTTCACCCAGTGCTGCCTGCAGTCAGAGAAGCTACCACTGAGCTATTCAGGCTCGCGATTGACTTCCTGTAGGACTTTGCTGGATATTTTTGATTGCAAACTTGACTTACAGAATTCAGTCTGCACCAAAGATAGGACTAGACACTTTACACTAGTTAATGGCTAGTGTCCAATCAGAAAAAAACCACTGAACTCTTTTAAAACCCCACCAAGATCATTCATTTCTCCATAAACCCTCCACTAAAATAATAGTTGAATTATGACATTGTGATAGATCTCCCGAAGTTCCAATACAAAGTTGTAGCTAATAAATTTAACGAGGCATGAGTTGATCTAATAAGCTACAGTGTAGGGCTCTCATTCTTATGTCTGAAGGTTACATAGTTGATCCTAAATAAGATGTTGGATCGATACTATTAAACAGTCACACATTAAGAAGGAATAGCTATTCACTCCCCCTCGGTATTTCATAGTTTGTGAAAAGAATTCCTTATAGTCTGCATCTGACTGAATGATGTCATGAAGTTATAGTTATTATTTCTATGGACACCATCTGCCATCAAGATTGACTATGAAATGCTATAAACCCACAAACTCATAAGTAGTATGGCATCATTATGCAACAGAAAAAGTGCGTTAGTCAATGAAATCAAACTAGAATTTTACTTACATCGAAACAAGAGACCATTCATGGAACTTGACTTATTGATATCTTTCAAATATCGATCTTCTAAGCAATATTCTGTTAGGGGAGCTGTGTTACTTAAACACTGTAGAATTGAATTCATAAAACACTAAAAGAGGAATAAAAACAAAATCATATATATATATATATATTTGAGAGGCTGCTCAGTCTTTGAAATTTGAGGTTTTACTCGAAGAAAACCATACACTTCCTGAATATTCACAAAGTCGGAAATATCCTCATTACTGAACTTTAGCACTTCAAATAAATGAAATTATACTATTGTAGCTACTTCACGGCCCAGGTGGCTGAATAGTCAACGAACTTGGCTTCGAAACCTGAAGGTCCAGAGTTTAATTCCTGGTGAGATGTCGTGAGTGTGCATTGCTAAAAAGTCTCCTTTATGGCTGTGAGACCTGGCCATTGAGAGCAGTAGACATGAAAAGATTAGCTGTGTTCGATCATAAGTGTCTGCGTTCTATCTCCCGCGTGAAGTGGTATAATAAGGTGAGCAATATTGAGGTTAGGCGTCGAGTGCTAGGTAAGGCGGGGAAATCAGTCGAAGGGACTGTGAAATTACATCGACTGAGATGGTTAGGACATGTGATACGTATGCCTAGTCATCGCCTTCCTCGACAGGCAATGTTAGCTGATATAGGGCCAGGCTGGAAAAGAACTAGCGGCGGTCAAACGAAAACATGGCACCAGTCAATGAAATCCATAACAGTTAGTCTAAGCCACGTAGGAAGATGTAGACTTCCTGGTTGGGGTCCTCGGGACGGTAAAAACCAATGGTTGGAAACAATTGGTGACATGGCTCAAAATCGTTCTCAGTGGTGCAGATGCATCCACTCCTTGTGACTTATGATTTCCAATTAAACTGTTTTGTTCTTCTTTATTACTATACCTTTGTCTCACACCTCTGTTTACTGTCTATATTATGCATTTCTTCTACTTTCTTCTCTTGCTTTGTGTGCTACAAGGAGGGAGTGTGGCGACTTGAACTGCCGCACATATGTGCAAAGTTCTATGTCGAAAACCGACCGACCGACCGACCAATAGATGTGTATAGACGTATTAACTGTAATATCTAGTTGATAAGTATATTAGTTTTTCACTTATATAGAATTTAATCGAATCAGATAGGTTTATCCCTTCAAAATATTGTTCGCTATCCTAGACATGTAATACATTATTTGTTTATGCCAATCATTTGCCGTCGATTTCATTGAACTATGAGTTAGTAAGTCTACTGATTGACATTGTAGTGTATGAGGTGATTGATGTTGAGTTCCAAAGCCATTAAAACATACTGCGTGGTATATAAGAGAAGAATGTGTGGTTACAACAGCTTAAGGTGCTTTTTATTTTGTAAGATTGACCTACCAAGTGACGAATTAACATCATATAAAAATCCACATTGTATAACACAATGCAAAGAATGTTAGAAGTGTTATTCCTTTTGTAATTTTCTCCATTCATTTGCCTACCAAGTGGAACATAGGTATTCAAGCCTGGACTTTGAAGTTACAGTAGCAGCGATGTTCTTTTTTATGGAGTGGGATTGCTAGATTCACACCTAATCTTCCCTCTTTCTGTGGTGTACTAGTGTCTAAGCGAGATTTAATAGTGCGTGGGCTTCGTAACTGGTGGTCATTCTACCAGTGAACAACTGACACGCTTTCTTTTTTATTATCACACCTTCAAAATAATTAAATTAGTTAACAGTCTTAATGCAAAACTTACGTAACGCTTTCGGTAAAGCCACAGAGCGTACATTAGACACTTATTAATCTTTAGCACTTCCTATCGTTCTAAAAACGCAATCTTTATGAACGTCTTTGTTATTGACCTTTTCATCTGTCGAATGTTGTATACCACGTAATGAATTATTTCACTTTTTTTAAAACTTAATAATAATTACAACTGCACAGTTGTTTGCGTCACTATTTAAATGATAAAAACTACATTAGACATTGCTAGTCAGTTATAACGAAGTCATCTGCTTTCCTACTCAGCAATAAGCTTTACAGTAGAAACGTAAATGTGACCATAGAATTCGCTTTAAATATTCTGTTGATACGGTTAACAAATTTACAAAATCTATAACTACTAAATTAGTGAAAGTTTAAATACCAATATTGAAGAAATAATTTCTAACAGATGAGTAGTATGGGAAGTATCGACACAACCTATAAATATTTAAGGCAGAATCAATTAACCCATTTCGCAAACCTTTATGGATTGAGGTAGCTAGGACAATTTGTCAAGCATTCCGAACCATCATACTTGTTGAACAAGAGGTGTTTGTCATAGCTTAGTAGCCTTTTAGATAACGCCTTAGATTTTAAGACTACAGGTGTTATGTTTGAGTTACATGGTGAAGGGGAAACCACGATTTATTGAGATGCAAGCACAACCGAATGATGAGTCTCAAATAAAACGAAGCCCACATTTTGGATTTTACCGCTAGTTACTATCAAACATGTAAATTCAGAACACTATTTTCTCTCCTCTTCTCATTTAGATTTTTGTGTTTTCTTGAGAACTTTCATTACAAGAGACCTTATACACGAACAAAAGAATGTGTTTCACCCTGAATACGGTAAATTCATTGGTGAACGTTAATTACAAACTATCTACCAGTGACTGAACCACTAGTCACCTAACTTATCAAAATGTATTTTCTTTGTCTAACTTCCCGGGTTTCGATCCCCGGTCGACGCGCTGCTCTACTTCGCTAAGCAGAGGTAATAAGACCGGTAAAGGAAGAAGGCTAGGCATGAGGTTAGTAACCCTACCCCGTAAAAATAAAAGACAGTCACACCTTCCCAAACTTAAAAGCTCTAGCTTAAGGCCCTATGTTCTACAGGGAACGTAAAGGAAAAACTAACTAGCTTGTTATCGATTTTCTACGATATATATAGCTTGTATTTCTATTATTTTATTCGTTCTGGCTTTGTGGGAAACTTCGCTAAAGATTACCGTCACTATATAGTCTACTTTACCTCTTAAGAAAGTCTTCTCACTGACTTTCTAATTAGATTTCAAAGCCCTTACTTATTACAAACAGGATTTTATCATGATAACATACATTTAAATTACAATATGCTCTGAAACTTTGAATACGCTATACTTACGGTATTTCCAAGATTATTGAGACCTACAAGTCCACCTCTTTGGAATGAATGATGAACTCCGATTGGCAAAGTAGTGACTGGTGCACGAGATGGACTAGCTAATGAAGAATTTGACCAACGTAAAGAACTGCTATTATTGCTACTATTATCAGTCTCTGAAGAGTCACGCTTGTCTATTGACTTTAAACTCTCAGTAGAATTACAATTTATGTAGTAACCATTGCACAACTTTCTCTCCGGTTCAGTGGTGGTTTCACTTAGTTCAAGTTTTGAAAACCGACTGTTTAAGTTATTTGATCTATCATTTCCATAGGTAGTAGGACTTGAAGAGCAGTGATTCCATAGAGAGGAGCCTGTTTTCTAAAATAAAATAGGCAGAAGGTTTGAGATCACAAAAATGTTCAGATCACAACACAGACATCGATCAATCAAATATCAGCAAAATTGACATTTGAATATTAAAAGAAACTTATAGGGATACCATATGTGTTCCATTTTTTATATTTTTCAGTGAAAATAGATTAAACTAAACATGAAAACAACGGAAATCGTGAGAAGCACTAATCAGTTCTTAATTTAAGCTGTGAAGTAAAATATTCATCTAGACAACTGATAGAAGACTAAAACATACATCTTACAGATGGTTTCTGAATATACTATTTTCCGAGTAAATCTGGTCACTAAACAACCATAAATGTCTGTATTTCTATGGGAAACAGTTGACTACACTTCAGAAACTTGCAATATACATTAGATCAATTTACTAGACAACAAACCTACAGTTTCCCAAATTTAAGGTAACATATATGAACGAACTATAGGAATATCAGTGGAATTATTAAGATCACCAATAGCAAAAAATGTATTTAAGGAAGGTGATGGGTGTGTACCTCTTAAAACAGTTAATCCTGCTTATAAAATATGGTGAAAATATACACATAACTAACGGATCAATAAACAGGAAGTCTTTCAAAAACGTGCATCACTATCACTCTCCATATTTAAAAGTTGCACACAGAATATAAATGGGATTTTGACAGAAAAGACACATATGAGTGATATATAGAATAGATCAACGAAGTGTTGTGAAGATATTCAATAGTTCGAATACAACAAAACGTGTTATCGTGAAAAGTTTCTAACCATCCTACCAACAGTTCCCAACCTCTTATCCCTACTAACGTAAGGATCCCAGCCACTCAACATATGAATTCCCTGATTCAGACCAACGACCAATGACTTCGTGGACTGATGTCATGACTTGATCTGACCACACACATCTCTGCGTTAAAATAATTCCAATACAGATAACATAGATCGTCTACGTAGGTGGTGATTTAGTACCTGTGGCAAACGTCGCAGACATCTCAACCGACCAAGATTCATAAACTCATAGAATGAATCAATTTTCTAACCTAATACTTCTTTTATTTTAAACATTACCCAAGATATTTTCTGTAATACAAATAATTAAGGGATGGCAGACAAAATCGAGTATAAATAATCGCTTTGTATCTGCTGCTTTCAGTCTCCACATCTTATAGTTGTAAAGTAAGATAGACAGAAATTTACATTCTGATGTATCGACGGATATCGTCAAAGATGACACAAGCAGAAGAGTATTAGGATTTCACCAGCAATCAGTAAACTGAGGCTGATTAAGCTGCCTCAAATGCGTCAAGTCATCACTATAGCTTACCAAACAAATCATGTCACACTATCTAATATTTTTCAGTAGTGGAATGCATGCCAAGTATATTCCACTGCTCTCTTGGAACGTTACATAAACTTTATCCACCGCCTAAAAGTACTTTATGTTCATTATCTAGATCAATTAGCCTCTCCTCTGGTTTTGATTGACTAGACACATAACACAATGAGAATTCCATGTCCATAGACTAATTTGACATCCTTCTCTTGTTAAATGCAAAGTCAATTTTATCGTGTGAAGGTTAAGCTAAAATCTAAAAATTCCATAGGTTTTGTATAAAGACCTATAACAGATGGAAGGTAGAAAACAAATTGAGTGAATTCACCACATAAGATCGTGGAACGAACTTTACACACTGTTACCCACAAAAATCAATTATACTTCCTATAGCACTGCCTTAAATAATTCCAGTTTATACAGGTAAAAGCTACTCCAAAGAAAACAGAAGTAAAATCATACAAGTGACACATTAAACAAGTAAATAAACATAAAGGAGGGATAAGTTGTATTCATTGTGTTTCTCTTCACAAAACTAACACCAAACATAAGCAGTAGAGCCAGTGTATCGGTAATTTAGAATACGTGAAGGATTTCGTTAATAAAATTGAAAGAAATAAAGCAACAACGAGATATCGATTAAACCAGAAAGTTGTATAATTACCCTACTGCGACTGTAAGTAATAAATTAGGCTTGGAAAGTCATTTATCCTAGAAAAAAGCATCACTATGCTTTATGTTAATCAAACTAATTTAACATGAAGTTACTCTGTACTGCAGTGTTCCTGTTCTACTCATGCAGTCATTTTAGACTCCAACTGACTTAACAGTTATAAAAACTAATCCTGAAAATACAAAACAATAGAGCAGGCCTTAGGACTATCACTAAGATTTCCTATATGCAGGGATTTTGTTTTTATAATGTTTTTAAATAAATGGACTGAGTTGAATTGAATATTAGAAAACAAGATTTAATAACTGGTACAAAAAACAGTAAAACTAGAGCTGAATTTAATATGCTCATGATTAAAGTCTTACTACTTAAAGAATAATGATAGGTTTGTTTCGAGGTAACCTTAGTAATCTCCAAAATTAAATGGACGGTGAACAAGGTGTGGGAAAAAATAACCAGGGAATCCACACAAGTAGGCCCTACAGAATTACTTAGCTGTTAAGTATTTCTTTGCGAGAAAATTCGTATACATCTCAATTCAGGTATATTCTAAACGACCAAACAAATAGTTTATTACACCTAACAACAGACTAAAACTAAAAAGCACGCACGTGTATGCTAAATATCGTAATGTAAAGAGAGCGGCTTACCATAAAGCGTTCAATTGCAAATGGATGGCCATATTATTTGGACGAAAGTAACCAGAAGAATACGAACAAAGATTTGGCATTTATCAACAAGAGGTGGCAGCAGTAGTTTGGTCTGACTTTCCAGAGATGATACGTGTACAACTCGAATTTACATTACTAATAGCCGCTCGAATAAACGCTTTATATTACATTATTATCCCCTAGAGTTCCATGTGTGAAATAGTGCTTCATAAGCACATCTACACTTCACGCTGTTTTCTACAGTATTTTATAGCTAGTTTTAAATTTTAGTGAATAAAATTATTGAGGTAACCGAGAGCCTTGTTATCCATACCCATAGAAAACTGGAATCCAATGCATAAATCACATTGGAATTAAAATAATCCCTGCTTCAGACGGATTCCCAGCAATAATTAACCAACGAATATAACTACCACTTATTGTATGTATATATATATATATATATATATAATTATTACAACTAACAGTATAGAATAGCAGTGGGTCTCAAACCACAACCAAAGCAAAATTAGTTTAACATGGAAGGAAACAAATATGAGAAGTCAGAAATAAAAAAGAGCAAGCAGAAAATCACAGCAACTCTCTTTGTGTGAAGCAATATAAAAGCGAAAGGAACTAGATTATGGTGACCATAAACTTTGCTTTAAAACAAAATGAAGTAGGCTAACGACCCTACAGAATTACTTCCTCAACCATTTGAAAATTAAGTTTGCTACCAGGGATAACTAACATGAGGAAATAATGGCTTTAGAAATGCCAGAATTGATACATAACAATGGAAAACCATAAAATTTATAAGTGGTGTTCTAGATTTTAGAGAGAAAACTATGGAAATGCATAGTCACGTAGCAAACATACGCTATAAAACTGATTGTACAAACACTTGATGGGATGGAAAGCTCCTCATTCATTGGGTGGATACTTCACAATAATTAATATTACATAAAATGTGAAAATAACTTACCGGTCCCAAACTGATTGATGTTCTATAGTAAGGGAGGGGAGAATCAGTATGCCTTGGAAGACGATTGACTGAACAAATATCTTTGGATGGCGTGCCATAGTTTCTGATACTAGTACCCTGAACCTGGAAACTAAATTAAACTTTGATGTATCTTACTGAAAACTTGAAGTCAGCTGGTTTAGTCAAGTCATCCATTGCGCCAAGTAGACTTCAAAGCTGTGTTTCTAAACGTAAAGAACTTTCCAGGTCAAACTAGTCCATCTCCGCCACAAAACTACTGAAGTGATGTACTTCCAAGACCACTATATAATTTGACGTGACAGTACGATATATCTATATAAGACGCTTCGTAGGGTGAGAAAAGTGAAGATATCCTTTTAAAATGTCAGGACTGTATGAACTGTCAAGGTAACAGTAAGCCTTCTATGTATGTAAGCAATCCAAAATCATACGCAAACTTCTCCACACCAAAACGTCCGCCTTTGATGACCTTCAGGATACTATGGTGACGACTAATTCAAAGTCGTGCAGTGTGCTTATTGAACCCTTGCTCTGAAAGGATGATGAGTTCGAATTTTATTGTTTTTATCTTCTTTTTTATCGAATGAATGTACTGCCCTTAGGCAAAAACATGATCTCTCTAGCTACAGTTGCTCTTCTCTTCACCACCTTTATCAGTGGCTGACCTGACTTGTCCGTACTAATAAGGTGTACACATATTCTACCTGTTGTGTTTATATTTTATGATTTGTGGCAGCGTCCCTTTCGTCAGAATAAAGCCTCCCCACCGCGATGTTAAATTGTCTGCAGGGCCTCTCTACAACACATGCATCATGGAAGGTATGTTTTCTTTCAAGCACGCTTAGATGAAAGCAACCTGTGTTTGCGCGGACTTACATTCTGTTAAGTCAAAACTTGGCACCGCAACACTTCCTTAGGAAATCTTATGCGTTTTAATGGCCTGATTCCTGAAAAAATTTATATTGGCTACAAAGAGCATCTGCTTACAGTGGAGACGAATGCCTCCAAAAGACACGTATTAGGACACCAGTTATTCATGCTGCTCGGACGATTTTGAGCTCGTTTCCATTTGATTTCGATTACAAATAACTCCCAAGATTTATGTGTGGTCACCTATTCTGTTAAACCTGAGTTATGGATAAACTATCGGATGACTCAATGGACTGGCACACAAGGTCAGTGTAGGATTATTTTTGTCCTACAGATTTAGTCCTCCCTCAATACTGACGACACAGAGTCTGGGCTTAGCAATAGTTAAAACAGAATAACTTGACTTTAACTTTATCTGTTTCTAAAACATAAAATAAACCATACAATTACACCAAGAAAAATGTACAAATCCATTGTCATTACAAAAATAGGACAAAAACGTACCGAACAGTATTGAAGGTACGGACAAAATGAACAGTCAATTAATTACATGTATATACAAGTAAAGTGACAGACAAAAAAGAACATTCAAGGTCATCACGTGGTGAGAGTTACAATAAATCGACCAATAATCGCGACAAAAAAGGTCACATAATATTGATTGGCTGTTTATCATACAGTCTATCTATCTATCGCGATTAACACTCCCCGCGAACGATCACCACGTTGACCTTTCGTACGCTTCTTATATCTTGTTCCACTTCTTGAGCTGAAGTTTTCAAACACAGTGTCCTGACGTGGCCATCTTGGTCATAGTACATCTGCTTAACTATAGCCTTTCGCCAGAGACCTCTCTGTGTGTCAGCACTCTTAACTAAGACGAGATCATCAGGTTGTAGGTTGTGCTTTATATCCAACCACTTAGATCTTGTTTGCAGCATCAGAAGATATCCACGTAGCCATTTATGCCAGAGCAAATCAGTTAAATATTTTGGAAGTAGTTGACTATAGTGTTGGGAGAAAGCATATCCATACATAGCATTCGCTTTACCTTTGTAATATTGTAATTTTCTTAAGAATTCACCAATTGCTGAACGAGCCGCAGTTAAAGGCCTTTTTGGAACTAAGGAAATACACAAATCAGATGCATCGTCCTCACCGACTACTTTATGTGTACGTCCCATAGAATCGTCAGCTTCAATAAAAACTCGCAGAATCGCATAACAAGCACAATAATGTGCTTGAAACCATGATCCAATGTCATCAGCATTTTCTGTTGGAGAATAAATCTCCATGGAAGTTACAGCTGAAGGAGACATTAACAACCAATTAATATAGACTGCATCTGGGGCATTGCCTTGAGCACAGTTGGTATTCAGACCGAACTGCTCCAGAACAAGAGGTAAATCAGATAAATAAATTCCAACGCACTCAGCTTGACACTTGTCTATTGCAGATGAAAGGTTTGAAAACTTGTTGTCATACGTTTCTCCTGGTTCACACCAACCTTTTATAGGACCTCCATTTATGACATATTCAGTAGTTTTCGTGTGGAAATTTCGTTTTCCATAACAATCACGCCGAAACAGTTTACCTGAACCATATCCCGTCAGTTCATGAAGTCCAACTTGTAAAACAAAGGAACTTTCAGCATGTTCCACGTACATTTGTTTGTCTTCATTACGTAGAAATTCTGGTTTAGGATCCTCGAGACGAACACTAAGTACACTATCCAAAGAAACATTTTTAAATCCATCAACTTGTCGTACATCATCATAGTTAGAAATATTAGTTCCAACAGGAATTCCAGCAGTTGTAAACGTCACTATATCCAAACTAGTAAAGTCTGGCTGTAAGAAATTAACTTTTTCAAACGTAGAAGGCCGTGGTAAATTTGTTAACAACCTTTCAGCATTATTCACAAGTAGTTGGAATTTTTTAGACACTGACCTATTTACAACAGCGACAAATGACTCAAACTTTGCACGAACGTCAAATAGATCATGGTATGACTCGATAAAACCAATATAGTTTTCAACAACAGGGTTCTTATCTTTAACCCATAACCTGAAGGCATCTTTGTGAGTGGCTAATGAGCCAATAGTGAAGCTTTCAGCATACTGATGCCACATTTCTGATTCGATTTGGTTAAGCGAATGTGCTTTAAAATCTTTACAACAATCGACTAGTAACTTCATCAGCTCACTACAGTCACCATATTCAAGCTGCAAAGATGTGTCCGAGGGAAGGGCATCTCTTAACTTCTCACGACGTTGACTTAGAGGGATTTGCAGGTCATGGTAACGTTGGGCTAACTGTCTTTGTTCTTCTTGGATAATAGGAGCGTCGAGATGACTTTCTGCAGCAAGCGTGTCAGCCTGGACTTTGAATGTATCTATACGTTCACGATGAGTAGCTACATCAGATTCAAGCAAGTTGTGCAGCTTTTGTGCGTTCATCACACCGTTTAGATCACGACCGACATCCTCTTAGGCTATCTGAGCTTCAACATAATTCAACCATAACTTGACATCTACGTTACGAGCGAACTGTTGTTGACTACTTGCTTGATCTAAATTTTTCTTCTTGTCTCCCATGGCATTTACGAGATGAGACCAAGTTTCATCCAACTGTTCAATCTTTACTTTTATTTCTGGCGAGTTGTAGTGGTTTGCATTTAACAAATCCTGACCTGTCTTTTTAATATCTTTGACGCGAGATTGGTTCGCTTGTATTTCTGCCTCGAAATTCTGGTGCTTCTGCATCTTTGTTTGCAAATTCGTGGAGTCTTTGTAACTTTCATCAAGTGCATATTTAAGTTTTCCTGATATCCATGACTGCATTTCATCTGCATCTCTATCGAAAATTTGGTAACGGTGGAAATCTTCAAGACGCTGACGGCGGTTCTGAGCTTTCTCCTTTAATGCATTTCGTCTACTTTGAAGACCTTCCTGAATCTCATGAACCTGTGAAACCGCATAGTGGTTTGACTCGATTAATTTTGCAGCGAATTCATCAAGTTGTCGCATCTTTTCTTCTTGTGCTAAAAGTGACTTTTCGAAGTCTTCATGTTTCCTTATAATTGCTTCCACAGAATCGAGTGAGTTTCCCACATCATTTATTTCTAAGAGAGCCTCTTGCTTACCAATCCAAGATTCCGACTGTTCAGCGTCGCGGTAAAAATACTGAAGGCCCATACACTGTTCTAGCTGTTCACGTCTTTCCTCACACAACTGCATCAAGGAGGCTCTCTCTCTTTCAAGGGTGGAAAGTTTAGCAGCTATTTCTCCATTACAGGGATGGCCAACACTTAGTAATGCCTGACCTTCTTGCATGCATGTATCGAAACTTTCAGCTCGAGAATTTATCTCAGCGGTGTATTCCTTATGTCGCTCTACTTGGGCTTCAGCACCAACTACATCCTTTGCCAAATCATCCGCCGATATTAACGTCTTCATGTTATTCATCCATATATTCAAGTCTCTCCAGTCAGCCAAAAAGCGATGCATCTTGAATGACTCTTCCAGTTTACCTCTCCTATCTACAGCCTGACTTTTCAGCTTATCCCATGCAGTAATTAGGGCGTCATACTTGCCTTGTATAGTGTCTAGCGAATCAGGATGCTTCTGTGCAAGCGCCTTAGCATCATCTCCAAGTTGAACAATCTTTTCATCTAGGGCAGTCAAACCCCTTTCTAATGCTTCGTGCTTCATTTGCAAGGCTTGGATTGAGGCAAGATCACGACCACAGTCCTCAATGGATAAAGGAATGGACTTTTCATTCACCCACGATATAGCTCTATCTATGTCTCTAAAGAAGCACTGTATCTCATAGGCTTCCAGGAGCTTTTCTTGTCGTTTTCTAACCAGATCCTTCAGACGTTCTAGAGCTTCGCGGACCTGTCTGGACTTTTCTATGACTAGGGCATCCTCAGGAAATTTCTCTTCTAGAAGTTCATCTACCTTCCGATAGATGTCTTCTGCACGACTTTCTTGATTCTCGAGATCTTTTGTAAACTTATTAAACCCTTTTTGAAGTATCTCAACATCTTCCAAGTCTTGACCTAAATCCTCTGATGTTACGTAAGTTTCTTTTTCACGTATCCAGAAAAGTATCTCGTCAACTTGGCGTAAAAACTGGACAAATTTAAGCGTTAGGTTAATAAGACGTGATTTTTCTCTGAAAATAGCCATAAACCTTTCCCATAGGGCATGCAATTCATCAAGACGGTTTTTGATAATATCTGTTGCGTAGTGTCCCTGACCAATCATTTCTTCTCCCGTAGAATCTAGAGCTAAGAGTGTTTCAGCATGAACTGTTACTTCGAACTCAAACTCTTGATGTTTCTGTTTTTTCAGCTGAAGATTACTGAGTTCTTTAAAATTCTCATTTGTATATGTTTGCAATTTTTCATTGATCCAACACTCAAGTTCATCGGCATTCCACTTAAAATATTGATATGCTTTAAGCATGTCCAGAAACTTAGATATGGTTCTGGCGGACTCATCATTAGGAGATACAGAGACTTTATGAGAAGTAGAAGGTTTGTAAGGCGATTTATTGTGACAAGAACATTCGCGACTACCTTGTCGTAATCTTTCTAATTCCATTTCTTTCTCCTTTTGGACTATGCGCAATTTCGCTAGCTCCAATTCTATCATATAGCGTGATTTATTCTCGTTGCTTTCAGGGAAATCAGCTTCATTACTTTTTTCTAACTGTGGAGTTAACGACGGCATAGTTTCATAACTTTCATCTGACATGCTGTTCGAAACTTTCGTCTGTAATACTGTTCGAAAC